AAGGTTAGAGGATTGAATGCTTGGGATCATTGTTTCAAAAAGACCACTATTCCATGTTTGTTTTATGCCTTTCCTTTAATCACAATAACTTTCTTTCCTTCTTTTTATCACTTGCATCTTGTGTTTTAAGTTGTTTTTCAGGGTGATTAAGATTGATTTTAGAAGAAATTATTTATAATCACATGTGTGTGGATGGGAATGAAACCAACATATCTAAAAATATTTTTTAGGGCGGATACTCGTATATTAATTTTGAAAATTTTCATATGGGGTGAGCACCAATAAAGTTTCAAGGTAGACACCAATAGTAAAATGAATAACTAATATAAAGAAATTCGGATACGTGCACACCCTCGACATGCTTTGCATCCGCCACCGAATGAAACTACGTATAAGAGCAGTTGAAACTGTTATTTCATAGGTCTCCCGATGTTTGGTTATAGTAAGCATAAAAAGAAGGTTTGGTGTTAGGTTTATCGTTAACCAAATTGACAATTTGGTGTTGTCCCCATTTATTAAGTTCTGATTTTATTTTTTTAAAAAGGACATTATTGTTAAGTTCTGAAAGTTGATGAGGATTTGGAATTTTAATTCCATACCACAGAGCACCTGAAGATTATTGTTATTTTTTTTCCCGTTTGTTATTTGACTTTTTATTGGAGTTTCTGAGGAGCCTCATGGGGTTGACCTTGACTACACAAAACTTCATTTAAGCATTTGAAGAAGAACAGAAGGGAATACCCTAGCAAACCAAAAGCAAATTAAATCAAGGGTAAACTACGCCAATGGTCACTGAAGTTTGGGTAATGTTCATTTTCACCATTGATGTTTGAAAAGTCATAAATCGGTCACTAACGTTATTGTTTGATACAATATGGTCACTGACGTTATCGTATGTTACAAAATAGTCACTCGACGTTAACAATCATTACTATAGTAATTGAATGTTAACGTGGTACGTTAAACCGGCTGACTCATAATGTTTAACCGGCTGTTTGACTATTCTTTTTCTTCCATTAACCACTGTCCGTGAAATCAAGCCCAAGAGTAGAAAAAATAAATAAGGTAATTTCACATTCTTAAAAAAATCCATTTTCCTCGTTGGAATGGTGTTTAATGGCTTTGATTTTCGTTTGATAAGGAGCCGGTGGTCCTTACGAAGAAGACAATAGGTGGCCGCCATGGTTGAAACCTTTGTTGAGAGAACAATTCTTTGTTCATTGCAAGCACCATGTTGATTTTCACAGGAGTGAGCACAATATGTTCTGCTTAGATTGCATGAACGACGCCCTCTGCTCTCTCTGCTTAGCTTATCACAAGGATAATCGTTGTATTCAGGTTCAACAATCTCTCTTCAATTTTCTGGGAATTCATTTTCTCGGCACCCAAACATGCAATTGACTTGAATGTTTCGACAGATAAGGCGATCCTCGTACCACTATGTAATAAGAGTATTTGAGATACAGAAGTATCTAGACATATATATTATCAACAGTGCCAAGATCGTCTTCTTGAATGAGATGCCACAACCAAGGCTTGAAAAAAGCGTGATCAACTCGTGCGAGGTCTGTGATCGTAACCTCGTAGACTCCTTTTGGTTCTATTCTCTTAGTTGCAAGGTACAATTCCCTTGTTTATAATTTTCTCGGGTTCTATTTGGTAGCTGAGAAAATGAAGATCATAATTTGAACCAGTTTTTTGGTTAATTATGTATGAGTGCAGATTGTTGGAACATCAAATAGTTTCCGGAAGAAGAAGCGGCAGTTGCATATGGGCATGGCATTAGACTATTAGCCCTAGTTCATTTAGTATTACATTTGTAATACTATGTTAATATCATATTTTTTTTCTAGAAAAAATTCGACATCGACACACTATATACTATTGTGTACATTATATGATATATGTATAGGAGCAGCAAAACATTAAAGTGAAAAATGATAATAATAAGCTATTTGGAATGCTTAGTTTTAAAGGTACATTAGGTTTATACTTCTGGTTTTAGGGCAAGACTAGTAGTAGTTGAAACATGAAAAAAAATAAGAAGAAGACAACAGGTGGCCACCGTGGTTTTGTCTTTACTTTTGATGTTATCTTTTTGTTGTTGTTGTTTTTTTTTTGCATGGTTTTGTCTTAAATGGTTGTGGGTGGTTAAAGGGGATGAGGAGGATGATGAAGAAGAAGAGTCAAATGATCAGTCAAACATGTTGAGCCAGCTGGTTTAACGTGCCATGTCAACATTGCGTTACTGCAATAATGATTGTTAACGTCGAGGGATAATTTTGTAACAAATGATAACGTTAGTGACCGATTTGTGACTTTTTAAACATCAGTGGTGAAAACGAACACTAACCCAAACATTAGTGACCACTGGTGTAGTTTACCCTTCAATAAAGGCCGATCAGCTTTAACATTAAAGCAAAGTCAACGGTTTAACTAAAGCCAAGGACGTTTGGTGTCTTTAATTTCGACCCAAAATTGTAATCAATATTTCTCAATAATTTTAATTTAATCTCAATTCATATAAATTAAAACCTTAGAACACGGGAAAAATTGATGGGTCTAATATCATTTTTATTAACAGGCTTTATTTATTTGTTTGTTTATAAACAGTCAAGAGTGATTAGATTAATGAGATAATAATTATTTAATTTTTTTCAAATCATTGACAACATATGTATCCTTACAAACATATTGTTTAAACTCAATCAGGCTTAAACCCCTTCTAAATTAAGGTGCGACTCCTCAAACTCACATGCTTTGTACTCGCCTTTTAACCCACACAAAAACTGTTGGCAAACATGTGTTTCTTACGTGAGTACGACAAACTTTGATAAAATCTCAAAACCACTATACAAATCGCAAGGTTCTAAGTTGCCCAAAAAGATATAAACACACTAACACGACGCATTAAACGGCAACACATCGATCCTACTTATGGTTCACACATTTTTCATTAATTCTTGCAAATGTGGATTAGGATGGAGCTGTAAACCCTACGATGGAGGGAATTAGGGGGTCGATATCACTACATTTAACCTATAATGGGAACCCAATCCAAAGAAGAGAGGAAGGTACAACTGAGGTGGGCTCAAGTTCCATCTCGGCAAGTGGCCACTGGGTTTTAATTGGATGGTTGGATCTGCCAACTTCATTTAGTGTGCATATCTTTTAGGGTTTCTTCTCTTCTGGTATGAGATTTCTTAGTTAGCTAATTAAATTTGGACACTAGATGAGCATTAACGTAAAGAGAAAATATGGAATGCAATCATTAAAGACGAGTATATAAATATGACCCTAATCAAGAAGTAGACACAAGGTTCATTTTTTATCCCGTGAATTATATGTATAGCAGAATTTAGAGGGGCAATAAGCAGAGATGCAAAATTGTAAAAACGATCGGACATTGACCAAACATAAACAAGTGGTGGGTGTAGGAAGGAAAAATACGTAATGATAACGCGTTCGCTTAACATATATGAGATCGGGAGAGTAGCCAGTTGGATCGTATGGCATTTCACAGAGCTAAGGTCCTCACTGATTCCATGGCTACAACAATCAACTTTGAGCTATTAGTGGGATGGTAGGAGAGGATGGAGTAGTATTCAAATCCAATTTCTTTTTTGTTTATATTACTTGGCATACATGTATCAAGTCATTTGATTGTACACGTGGCATCCAAAAACAAGAGCATCCTCTCACCAATTGCTATGACTGTCTCTGCGTGTGTCCGATCCATCTCCGGATTCTTCGCTCCTATATATTTCACATGGTGGAGATCCCACAATCACCATTAGTCCATTACTTCCATTGTTTCATCCCATTCAAATTCAATCTCTCTCTGTAAAATATCTTTGCCCGTGTCTGCCACTTTCACTGCTTTCCATTTCCTCAACTTTCTCCTTCATCTTGTCATGGTTTTTTGTTCCTTCATCATTCTTGTACAAACAAGATGGGAAGTTTTGCCTTTTCCTTTTTCTTACTGCTTTTCCTTACTTTGCGACCTATTAGCAGCTTAAGCTCGCTTATTCTACTTTAAACATGTCATGAGTGAGCGTCACCACAAGTTTTCTATATATAACCGTTCCTTCAGAGACCTTTCTTAACACTGGCCGGATACAGAACCTCCCTTGTAAACGAGTCAAGAAGATGTCGTTTTCCAGAACGAAAAACTTCTTCCAACGGTTCTGTATCGATGAATTCCATATGAGCAGTGATATTCATGGCAGTTGCTTCTCCAATGATCTCCTTCCATCACTTGGCGCCCGAATTAACCATTCCACAAAGCTACGTACACACTAATATCCCCTTTCAACCCTCATTATAGGTGATAACCCGTTTACATGATTTTACTCCTTAGAGAGAATATGTTAAAGCTGGTCTTTATGGTCCTATTCCTTCTTACAGGGCTTGGGAGATATGGCTGGTGGTGCTAGTAATTTACTCTGCCTGGGTTTGTCCATTCGAGTTTGCATTCCTGTCCTATAAGAACGATGCACTTCACATTGTTGACAACATTGTCAATGGATTCTTTGCTGTTGACATCATTCTCACTTCTTTGTTGCATATCTCGATAGCCACTCTTATCTCCTTGTTGATGACCCCAAGAGGATTGCCATCAGGTAAATAAGATCTCGGAGCATTTGATCAAAAACCCATTTTTCTCAGCCTCAACAACTATTTGAACAATACATGTAGGTACATATCGACCTGGTTCGCTTTAGACGCCTGTTCCACTGCCCCATTTCAGGCTCTCAGCCTCATGTTCACAGATCATGGCAGTGAACTCGGGCTCAGGCTACTCAACATGCTCAGACTCTGGCGTCTGAGACGAGTTAGCTCCCTGTTTACAAGGTTTATAATCGTTTTTCTTTCGAAAAGCTTAATGCCTGAAAACTATACAGTGTGGGAGAACTACAATATTGACTCACTGGTTTCCTCTCCTTCAGACTTGAGAAAGACATTCGGTTCAACTACTTCTGGACTCGGTGCACTGCTGTTTTATATCTTTTACATGTTCTTTAATTTGGGATTAACAGCTTACCTCATCGGGAACATGACTAACCTCGTAGTTCACTGGACAAGCCGGACCCGTAATTTTGTAGTTAGCCTTACAACTTTCAAGCTGTTCGAAATCATCATTAGCCTGCCACCGGAACTAATATAAAATATGTTCTAAAGGACCATGAGAAATTATGCGTCACAAATCAACAACTAGAAATACCCCACCATTTTCTGTAGAAATGGTCGTATTTTAGGGCAGCTTTTGTATGAAAAATTCAAGGTAAAAAAACTAGCTTAAAGCTATGACATCGTAAATCAAGAATAAATGCTCGGTCATTTGTAGGAGCAGATTTGAGCATGACAAGTTATTCAACAGTGTTTTTTAGCCTGGAAGTGCTAATTGACAAGAACCTTGACCTTTTTTTATGTGCTACAGAGGATACAGTTAGAGCCGCTTCGGAATTTGCGACACGAAATCAGTTGCCACCCCACATTCAAGATCAAATGTTGTCACACACATGTTTACGCTTCAACACAGAAGGACTGAAGCAACAAGAGACCCTAATAGTTTACCGAAAGCCATTCGGGTCGAGCATCGCACAGCATCTCTTCCTCCACATTGTGCAAAAGCCTATCTCTTCCAAGGAGTTTCTCATGACCTCCTATCTCAGTTGGTAACATCATACTCGCTCTGAGGCAAATGATACATCACTTTGAATTTCCATTTGCACAAGATGCTAATACAAGTTACTACTCTGTCAAAAGGTTTCGGAAATGGATGCGGAGTATTTCCCACCCAAAGAAGATGTCATTCGCAGAACGAAGCCCCAACGGATCTCTATATTGTCTCGGGTGCAGTTGTAAGTAGGCTTATTTTGATATCTGAATAATATACACTAAACAATGTGATTCCTGACATAAGCTTGGCGGCCGGTTGATTCGTGATTGCAGATTTTAATCTCACATGAGGATGGACATGACCGGATTATGGAAAGGTGGCTGCAGGGGATATGCTTGGAGAGGTTGGAGTTCTCTGTCACAGGCCACAACCATACACAGCTAGGACCCACTGAGCTTTGTCAAATACTACGAATGAATGCAACTTCTCTAATGAACATCATCAATGTGAATACGGAAGATGGAAGTGTTGTTATGCGTAACCTTTGCATGGTAAACATCATATTAGACAACTTTTTAGGTTGATGGAAGCCTTGATGTTAGTATGAACAAGTAGTGATGGTTTTTCTTGCAGAATTAAACGGGCTACACAGCAGCAGCTTTGACAGGCCCACCATAGATCCCGGCAGTTTTGAACGCTGGATTTGAAGATCAACACAGAGATGTGCATCAAAGAGCGCAACAGCAGACATGAATTTAGATGAACATAGAATAGAGATCATTGGGCCAAAACAGCAGACCCCCAAGAACAGTGAAAAAAAGGCATAGAATCGGCGCCCAAAATTTCTTCAATTCGCACAGTTATAGGGAGCTAATAATACCGACCAAAAAAGAGTTACTATTCACATGTTAAAGAGCAGCAGTATATCAAGTAGGCAAAAGTTGATACTCCTACCTGATTCAATACAAGAGCTGCTCAAAATAGCTGGTAAGTGGGTTGGGGGAGGTATCCCAGTGAAAAACGAAGAACGCAAAGAAACAAATATAAAGGATTCTAAAACCGTGAACAGAAACCTGAAACCACCCCTGCTTTGGCTTTAATTCATCTTCATTCCATTACCTTGTTAACTGCAGGAGAAAAGCTGGGAGGCATCGCATTTACAAAAGTCGTTAATGCAGAGAATGCAGAAATTGATGATATACATGTCATTCGAGATGGTGATGATCTGTTTCTCCTTCAAAATGAGGGTGAAAATGTAATAATGTGAACTGATGATAATACAAAACGGTCCCGGCTCCTGAATCACTGCAGACGGTGTGTAACGTTGAGGCAACAATAATGATAATGAAATGGTAACAATGATATAACATCAGTTGATCTGGGACCGCAATTGCAATTATAATCTTAAATCAAATAAGTCAATTACATAATGGTCATATTTGACTCGTATTTTGGTTGGGCAAAACCCCATCCTCATATAACCTCAAAATGTCTATCAGAACTGAACAAGTATTGCAAACCTATGTAAGCGTCATATAGCACATCAGTTCATTGATGTATTGTAAACATGAAAAGTCAAGCCACTGCTTACACTAGATAAACTGGGATCCCGAGCAAGACGGCCTTCATAAAAGAATGAACTCGTAAACCATGTCAAAGCACCGTGGAAACTGTGCCCGGCCTAGAGATGTCGAGCTTTTACATGTTTGCCTTCATGTTAGTGCCTTTCTTTAAAGGGATCGGTAAAGGATGAGCCTGTGTTAAAAACAAATTTATCAAGTGGTATAACAGAGCTATTCCCGAGAGCAAGTACAAATACGTTTTCACCAAGGAAAAAGGTCTCCATCTTGTCTCTTGGAGGAGGAGGAATTGTGGTGACATCATCTAAAGTGTATCCTCCGGATTCTACCTTTGTGTATTTCTCAAATGCCTCGAAGATCTGCCAACCCCATTCTCGATATCTGCAACAAGTGAGATATTAGAAAGGAGAAAGAAAAGAAAGAACAAGTTGCACACATTCACACTAGAGACGATATAATTAAATAAAAGGGAAGAGAGAGAAGAAACTAAAGAACATACTTTTGATCCTGAGTGATACGATACAACACAAACAAGGACTCACAGTTTCAGGACGCAACAATTGTGACGATCAGCATGTTTCATTATTATGTCTTTTACATATTCTGAACTCTTATTCCCACCATCAAGACCATCTTCAAAATAATCCTGTTCAAATCAGATCAAGAGAGCAGATCATGAACTATCGTAATTACACTATAAGCAAAACGAAAAGTGGTCATACATAGGTAAATAAGAAAATATGACTTGGTGTAAATGCAAATTAAGTCCATCCTATACTGCTTAAAAGAATCAAGTAAACTGAAAACAACCTTAGTATGAAAGTACACAATTTCAGCCAGACCAGTGGAAGTTACTGAATACATCTCAAAACATGTCTTGGCTAATCTTCCGCAAGTTTCAAGTTTTCCAGGTCTTCAAATGTAAGAAGGTTGTCTTTCATAGCTTTCTCCTTTGTGAGGCCTTTAGTGGCACCAAGCAAGAGTACCAGGCAAAAGCATACCTGGTGTATACAGTAAAATACTTTCACATCAATCATGGATACTCTGTGGGGTCCAACAACAGAGAAAATGCTTTCAACAGCCAATGATTGATACAGAAATACTTTGCATTCGTCTAATGAGAACTAAAAGCTATAATAGATTAGAAACACTGGTGAAACTCTTCTCACAACTGCTTCCTTGGACTATTCAACATGATAGTTTTGAAAGGAAACATCCTATGATTGTACAGTATACTGCTTTGAAGGTGTTAGTAGTATTAACAGCCTAGCTTTCACGATCAGCTATAGCTGTAATATATGGAAATACTTTTGTTGAACTCTTAATATCGGTAGTTGCTTTCTTGCATTATTAAGCATCATAGTTTTGGAATGAAACAACCAGTGATCTAAAGTATACTACTGCTTCTAAGTGCGAGCTAATAGCCAACTAAGAAGTGTGGGCTTCAGTTCATGTATATAGGAGATCAGATATATGCAATTCTTAACAGAAACAGTTTCACAATCTAAATTTTCCTTATGTTAACATATCTGTGGTATTTTATCTCAAATATATATTGGGCGACATGGACCATTCTCGTGAGAGATAGTAGTAAAGAAAAAAGTGGGGGATCACTCAGTATGAATTCCAAATCTTGGATATGTGAAGAATAAAATCCATTTTTTCTTAAAACAATATTACCTGCTCCTTTCTTCTTCTTCTTTTTTGGATAAATACACACCCTTTTATTAAAACAAAGAACAAGAATAAAAGTGTCCCGACATTCTCAAGTGTAGGAACCTAGACATTATCATGTCCTAAAAACCACATTGTGTGGCTGCTTATCCTCAAAAAAGAAACTAACCTTTTCTATGGCAGGATGAGAGGAAATTTAAAATCTATCATCTAAATGTAGAGCACTAAAAGTCTTCACTTATTCAGATATTGCTTAAAATCAAGGAATGAGAAAGAACTACATACCAGGTGATCCATTTTTGGACTCAATACCATTGGATCCAACAGGTAATTCCCCCACAAAAACCAATTCACTTGGTACTGATTTCTGAACAAGCATGTGTTTAACACCCCTCATTGCTTCCCCATACATATCATAAAGATATGTGAAGTTACCATCCTGAGTAGTTCTTAGCTGAAGCCACACTTGATTAGGTCTCATAGTAGCTATCACCTCGAGATCCAAGTCTAATATTGTGTCCACTAAATTCACCAGAATGAGGACTGCATTCCATAACAAGATGATCAAGGGAAAATGACAAAGACTTACCACAAAATGAGGACTGTATTTCATACTAGGATGAACTAGATCTCAGAACCAGATAACTATAAATAAATAATTATGATGATGACCACAACAATGATGATAAGTACAGTCAACAATAAATGTGGCAGATAAAGCATATTGACATCGGGTATCATTTGTCCAAAGAAATTGACATAATTACACACAAGAATAGGTAAGATTTATAGTTTAACAATATTAAAGGCTCTTGTTGTTCAAATTTGTGGAAGTAATAGAAGCGATAAGACAGCAAATTTGAGAACAAACTCAAGTATTCCCTAAAATATCCTGATGGTGCTTACTGTCTTTCTGTCTTCATGACATTTTTCCCAGTCTAAATCACATCTCATTTCAGAAGCGAAGGCATTTCGTTTGGGCATGGTAACCGATGAGCACAATTTTTTTTTACTGCCAACTGTCGAAAGCAGTCCAGCATGTTTTAACCATCCAAGAAATATAACAGGAGAAATCAAATTCCAATGATACAGAGGAAAGCAGTTTTTTCTAATGTGTGTGGCTGAAAGCAGTTTATCCAAGCAAAAGAAAATTTCCATTAACCTAACCCAACATGCTTGAAAATCTTAGGAAGACATAAAAAAGGATATAGCTATTTAAGTAGCAGTAACTGGGGACTGATGTCATGTTTGAAGAGAATAAACATACTTGATGTAGATAGGAACCCAGTCCTTCCACCTTTGGAAGAGTTTTCAAGTGCTCTAAAACCTTCATCCCTTTTGTGCCATACTTTGGATCACCAGAAATTGCACTGAGATAATTGAATTCAAGCTGTAAGTGGAAACTTCAGAAGTACTACTCAATCCATCAGGAGCTGGATGAGCTGAGGAATCACGTAGAACAACATCACTGAAAGGAATGGGAGTTGGACTGGAAGTAAAAGCAGATAGCAGACGATCAGCCAAGTTTTTTGCAATGTTTAGATAAATAGCAGGTTTTGGCCCCTTCTGTGTTAAGGCTATGCCTTGGTCCCCCCCACTCAAATGAAATGCACTCAATAGACCACCCAATACCCGTATTGTGGTTTCAAATAAATTAACTTGCCCTTTGTTATTAATCCTATCTAAAAGGTGTGATTCAATCCATGAGCCCGCTTCAGAAACAACTTCATCTAGACCCATGATCATTGCAGTATCAAGAGCGTCTACAACTGTAGCACCTATACCTCCTAGCTCATCAACTCCATGCTGGCTCACTGGCATAAGCTCGTCATAACCCATTGCAAACTTCTTATAGCCGGACCAAGCATGGGTGAAAGCATCTTTTACATTTTGTTGTCTAGCTATCCACTTTTCTTCAACATCTCTTTTAATTTACCAGTAATATTACCATGGCTAACTTTT